ATGCCATGTGTTTCTGCATGTGCATGTTACATGTCATTTTCTTCATGCATCATGTGTTTATGAAATGTTCAAAATCATGATAATAAAAGTGCTTCCCTTGGGGGTCAAAATTATGCATGAGTTCCCTACGCTTGGGAGAGAAAAAGGTACACACTGAGCTCAGTAAACTTTAGTTATAGTAGATGCTAGGGCATGCTCTATGTCTTGTGATGTTATATCTGTCAATCCTGAGTTCAGTGAACTTTGTTATACACCAGATGGTAAAGTTTCAATAGACAGATGAGTTTGCTGGGTCTTTAGAGTTGAAGGGATGTTGACTACACAAACTGGAGCCCAAGGTAATGACTAAAAGTCTAAAACTTACAAAGGATAAATGGATATTCAATTGTTTTATGGGGACTAAAGCTAGGAATGGATGGAAAAAGAAAAGGTTACAAGCTTGAATAATGTTTAGGTTCCATTTAATTCAAGTCTTAGAATTATTATCAATTATGGTAGAGCTCTTTATCTTGAGTTTAGGGGTACTTTGATATTAATCTGCACTTTAATATAGCTTTTCATCCTTGGACAGAAAGTTGGAGCATATAGTTGGCAGTTACTAGAGTAGGTTTGAAGAGCTTTTTGTCTTGGATTTAGGGGTGGTTTAGATATTCTTTTGTCATTGTCAAGTTCACTTACCAATATAGCTCCTGAATACTAACTACCATGTATCACTATGGTGCCTCATGGATCTTTAGTGTTGGTCGGACTTTGGAGTGAAGTTGGTGCTAGGAGTTTGTTAAGTCCAAAACAAGAGAATATCTAACTGTTGATAAAATCACTAAAAATAGGTATGCTGATCATTGTAGTTGAAACTTACCAGCCATCCAAGTGTTTAGGTGGCTTAAGCTTCTTTATTTGAGTAAAATTCATCTTATGTTTTTTGATTGAATGTTAAAAGATTTTGATGAGATATCATTTGAGTGAATACGAGATATTTGGAGCGCATGGCGCAAGATGCTGTTCAATCAAAGATTTATTTTGTCTGGATAGTTTAGAGCTCAAAGTTTTTACTTTAAGAAAAGATTGAGCATCAAAGAGCAGTTGAGTAGCTTGATCTGCGATGAAGATTATTCAGTTTGAGATGTGCAGAAATGAATTTGGGAAAATCTAGCATCAGGATTCAAGACCATTAGTAGGTGAATTGAGAAATAATGTGTAGTTCCTTTTCATATTCAGCTTATGGGGTAAAGTCAAGTTCTTTCATGTGCCTAAAAGTGACAGAAACAGTTTAGAGAGGAGGCTGTAGGTTAACCCTCCTTCCTAGTTGGTTCAACTACTCATCTAAGTCAGTGTGAGGAGAGGAATTTAGTCCAACCATATTTCCAGTATGTCGTAGGCACGAAGGGAAGCACTATTTTGAGCATTTCATACGCATTTCCATGCATGAAGAAAGAGCATTTGAAATTCATATTTTTATTGTCAAGCAAGTCACTTCTATGGTTTAATTTTGTAAAAGATTTGCAAGGTCAGAACTTCTTAACAATTATTTCATTATTTTGGAATGACTGCCAAGGGTAAGAGAAAAGAAAGGCAAGTGGAAAAGTAATTTTGACTTTTGATCCTTCACAGAATTTAATAATTAAACCAAATGAAATTTAAATCCCAAATGGGCCGAAAGAGATAATCCAATCCAATGCACGCATGTGGATCACTTTATCTCCTTTCACCAAACATTACTGGCCCACCACCACCTTCTGCATGTGGGGAGGGGACCTTGGCTCTTAGACAATTCTTTATAAGCTTATGTAAACAATTTGCCCCTCTTTTTGTTGTCTTTATTTTCCTACTTCCTTTGCACATGCTTTATTTTCCTTTCTAGACTGCTGAGACAAATTGGGCTTACCTAGATTTTCACACATTTGGCTCAACTCTAGGAACACAAAATAGTGATTTTTATTTTGAATCTAATAAAATGAGTGCAATTTTGCAGTTTTAGATTGCAAAACTGAGACCATTAAATAAGGGGGCTTACTTTATCTTGATGTTGTGTAGTTAGGAGGACTATACAACAGTTTTGTTTTATATACAGAAATATTATGGGTGTTCTATCTTAAATGATTCTAACTTTTTTTTTTCTTGTAGGAAATGGAGTTGACGTTTAATTGTAGCTGGTGGTCGAGTATTGCTAATTATGTTAAGCTTTTCTATTGTGTTAATGGACAAATATTTTTGATTTGTTCATTTTGAATACAACATTTTTTATATTAAATATACAAATGTTTAATCGAAATTTATTGCAATTGCATTTTCCCCCCAATGATCCAATCATTTCTAAGGAGTATAAAAAAAAAAAAATAATGTTATGATTATAATGTTATATAGGTTTATAAGTTTATAATTTTAATTGATATTAAATAAATATGACGTGACATTAAAAAATAAATATACATGGTATTATTAGTGATTTTAAATTTTAAAAATTAATTATATAATAACATATCTTTATATAGATTATAAAATTTCAAAAAATAAAAATAAATAATGCAATGCATTGTGAACACAAGAAAAGGTAAAGCTTGATCAGAAGGAGGTTAAAGCTGAGGTTTAATGTTGGCCGTTGGATGTAATCGGGTCGGGAATATAACACGGCGGGAAACTGATTATTTTCGGAGGTTACTCCCTCCAAAACTCCCAATTTTCCAAAGCTCACTCCTTTTAAAACCCTAGCCCTTCACCACCCTCCTCAGAGCTACCTCCCATGGCCTTTCTCGAGAAGCAAGAGGAGGAGGAGGAGGACGCGATCGGCATTGAAACCGATCCCAACGCTCCTCTACGTTACCTACCCCTCGACCGTATCTACTCTGCCGCTTCACTTTGCGTCGGATCCAACGTCATGTCCAAGAAGGTCAAAGCTCGGAAGCTTATCGTCGGCGATCCTCCTCATCTCAAGCCACATGGACCTCCTTCCTTGCACGTGTACTCTCGCCGTACCAGAAGGTCGCGCAATGAGACACCAACTCCTTCCTACTTCGACTCTTTACTTGCTCGAAATGGTGAATCGGCGCCTGAGGTGGCACCCAAACTTGAAATTGTTGAATTTGTAGATGTTGGGAAGGGAGAAATGCAAGGGAAGAGTGGGCATTTGAATAAAAAGAGGAGAATTGGGAGCAGTGAATTGGTTAAATTAGGGATCGATTCTAATTCCACTGTTTTGTGGGAGCTTGGAAGGTCGCGATTGAGGGATTGTCGCATCGATAACAATGTTAACAATAGCAACGCTGGGAGCATCAGGAAGAGGAGGCGTGATTCTAACAAGAATCTGGAGAAAGTTTCTAAAAGTTCGATGGCTAGGAAGAAATGGTTCAGGTTAGGTTTAATGGTTTCTAGGAATACTGGAATAGGGCAGTGAATTTATCCAAATGAGAATTTTATGTTTAATTTTCTTTTGCCCAGTTATTGAAGTTTTGAACTCATTAGTTTATTCTCTTTCTGTTTGGTTATTCTGGTTAAATTAATGGGCGAGCTGTGACCTTATAGGTTGAGCTTTGATGGTGTTGATCCTGAAACATTCATTGGGTTGCGGTGTAAGGCAAGATTTAAATGTTCCTTTTATGTTTCTAATTTTTAATTGTCTAATCTTTTTTCCCCATTAAAATTAAACTGGTTGAGTACAGGTCTTTTGGCCATTGGATGCTGATTGGTATATTGGTCGAGTTGTTGGATACAATACTGAGAGTAATAGACATAGTGTATGCATCTTGCCCCTTCTTCCTCTTCTTTTTGAAAGATCAAATTGTTGTGGAATAGGGTCCTGTAATCCCTTTTTTCCTTCTTTTTTATCTGATGATTGAAATTGTTTAATCTTGGACTTATGTTTTAATTAATGTGCTGGTGATTTAAAATGGCCATCTTTTTAATATAAGACAAAATGTGATACAGGTTAAGTATGAAGATGGGGATCAAGAAGATTTGGTTCTTTCAAAGGAGAATATAAAGTTTTATATTTCCTTTGAGGAGATGGAACGTCTGAACCTTAGTTGCAAAATTAATAGTACAGATAATGATGGCTATCATTACGATGAGATGGTTGTGTTGGCTGCCTCTTTAGATGATTGCCAAGAGCTCGAACCTGGTGATATTGTGTGGGCGAAGCTCACTGGTTTGTGCTAAATCTATCTATGCATTCTAATTTTTTATTTAGATGTTACTGTGGAGGCCCTCCTTCCATTTCATGAGGCATTAATACCGTCAACTGTTGTTAGTGTTGGTGATAATTGACTGGCAATACCTAGGCTTTATTTAGTTATTCTGTAAAGATCATTGTTTTAATCTCTGGCCATTAGTTGACACATGACATGGGTTTCAGAAACCACTTAACATATATCGGTAGGTGCCCTAATTGTTTTTTTGTCGCCAAAACCAAGATAATATAGGTTTTCTACTATTTTTGTAAAATTTGGCAAAAGCTTACAGCATCTCTTTCTGTTATTGAGTTTATGTACAAGATAATCTAGGTTTTCTACTATTTTCGTAAAATTTGTGAAAAGCTTGCAGCATGTATTTCTGTTATTGAGTTTATGTACATGTTCTTATCATGTATTAATGGGCCACAATATGTTACTGTGGCTTGGCTGAGCTGGTCATGCTATGCAACTTATCTCATAGTTTTGTAGTGTAGGTCATGCTATGAGTTTATGTTACCATGAGTTGAGTATCATCCACATGTTTTGCACAGTTTACTTGCAACTGATCTCAGTTTTGTAGTGCAGGTCATGCCATGTGGCCAGCAATTGTTGTGGATGAATTGCTTATTGGTGGTTGTAAGGGTTTAAGCAAAACTTCAGGAGGAAAATCAGTTCCTGTGCAATTCTTTGGTACCCATGATTTTGCAAGGTCTTTTTGTTTCATTAAATTTTGGGAAATATGATCTTCCTGGGTTGCATTAATATCTTACTTTTTTTCTCTGACGCTGATGCCATTTTCCTCTGGTAATTATCAGAATAAAAGTGAAACTGGTCGTCTCATTTCTCAAAGGACTTCTCTCTTCATTCCATCTTAAATGCAAGAAACTTCGTTTCACTCGGAGCTTGGAAGAAGCAAAAAGGTAAACTCTTTTTATTTTTTTATTTTTATTTTTTTCAATCATTGGAAGAATGATATTTCATTTAACCCATCTAACAAAAAAGTAGCAAATATGAAATAGCATTATAGTTTAGTCCAAGTATTCTACAATCACTTCCACATTCAAAACTTAATATATGTGGCTCCTCACAGTCCTTATACTGCACTCTTAGCTCCTATGAAGTTGCACATAGATATGGGTCTGCCAACCTGTTAGTCTCTGACTCAATATGTATGGTTGTATGTTTGGAATTAACTGGAATTTGACTTTTAGTTATCTCATGTAGTCATTTTGGTTAATGGTGTCAAGGGGTGCATACTCATTTTTTAGTAGATTTTAGTTCTATTGCGTGAATTTTGTATTCTTATATTTATTGTAGCTGCTGCCATTTATTGACTATTTTTTTTAACCTTTTTGTAAAATGTTGTAGAATTTATGCCTTTGATGATGTCTATGATGTCCTCTTTTTCAAGTAATTGCAATTGCTGCTGCTTACAAGGCCTGCTTTTCAATCATTTGGTTCTAACTAGATACCTGAGTGAACGCAAGCTTCCAAAAAGAATGCGACAGCTGCAAAAAATAATTGATGCTGATAATTTTCAATGCAAAAGTAACGAGGATGAAGGGAATACGGATTCAGATGATGATTCCAGAAAAGATGAAGGGATCCTGAGAGCTGCAGAACTCCTAGATTCTCCACATGTAGAGGGGGATTTACAAATTATAAAGCTTGGTATTACTAGTGGTTTTCACCTTGCTTTGTTTGATTGCCTTCTTTAAAGTTTTGAGACATTACATGTTTTAGTTGCAATCTTTCATTTAATCCCATTTTTGTGAACTGAAACAACTTGCTTGTAGCTTGCTAACTTGATAGAAATGGACATGCTAGTATGCTATATATATTGTTGATTAGACATCATTTGGAATGAAATATGGTAAGATTTTTATTCCTTGTGTGACGGTTGAGACTATCAGTTTACAACCAATTCTTTAGTGCACCCTGTAAAGATGCTTATTGTACAAAAGGGGATGAGATAGACTAGAATCATTTAGTTGAAGTTGGGAGAAATTTTATGTCTAAGCAATTATTAGTATGGCTATAAATTAGGTTGAGTGGTGGAAGAGGGTTTGTGTGACAAGCTCTAGACTCATATTGTTCAGTATGATTTGTAGAAAGGATGATAGCTGTATAACTTATGGAGACTAAGGATTATTGCTCATTTTGTCTTTTGCTCTTCTCTTTACAGGAGAGGTTGTCAAGGACTCAGAATATTTTCATGATGATAGATTTGTCTGGCCTGAGGGGTATACTGCTCTTAGGAAATTTTCTTCAATAACAGGTCAAAATTTTTTGCAATATTCAATCAGCTATCCTATTTCATATGCATGAAAGAATGGACTTTTAATTTCTGTTGATAATGAATTTATTGTGATTCAATGACTAATTATTATTATTATTATTATTAATTGTTTTGGTTTTCAATCTCTCTTTTGGACTTTAGATCCAAGTGTTTGTACCTTATACAGAATGGAAGTGTTGAGAGATCCTCAATCAAAGAGTCGACCTCTATTTAGAGTTACAATTGATAATGGAGAGCAGGTTAGTTGTAATGTGGGGAATGAATCTAAATCTGTCTTTTTAACTATTGTGTAGTTACTAATGTTTCTGCATTTCTGTTCTGTTGCATTATCATGGTATTTCTTTTGCCGTGCTTGTATTTGTTCATGAGACATAATTGGCCACTTTGTCATTTACTTTTCCAAATTCTAATAAATTTCAAAATATAATGATCATTCTGTGTTTTGTATTAGCAATGTGATCCTAGGAACTATATCTTTGGGTTTCCTATCCTTTCTAGCCAGCAAAGAACCACATTTAAAACTTATTAGCCATTGTTTCAGGTCCTTGGAACATGAGTTATTATTATTATTATGGATTGTCCTTTAGTAATATTCTAGTTATTTCTTATGAATGAAACTATTGAATGTTGTACTAAAACTTTTATTTAGTTTGAAGGATCAACTCCGTCAGCATGCTGGAATAGGATATATAAAAGAATACAAAAGATACAGCACGGTACTTCTGATAGTGCTGAAGTTGGACTAGGAAGAATTGGTGTATCAGGTCCTGACATGTTTGGTTTTTCAAATCCTGAAGTTGTAAAACTGATACAGGTATGGGGATCATTTATTTTCACTTCAAAATTTCAAAGTTGCACCTCAGTTGATTTTAATGTTTGTTATTAGTCCTTGGATTCTCTGAATTGGCGATTGACTTTGTTTTTATTCTATTAACTAATAAGAGGTTTAGCTTCAAATTTTTTGTTTATGTTATTTTTGGTCATTAATATATTTGAACTTTTACTTTATGTTTTCTTATTCTGCTGCATATTATCCTTCTTGTACGTGAGAATCCATTGCATTCTTTTTCTGAAATTTTGGCCCTAATTTAATTGATAGATAAAGAGAAGCAAAATTAAAAGGAAATAAAACAAATTTTCCAATTTCTATCTGGTTCTTGATATTCACTTTTGCTTTGCTTTGCCTTGCTCTAGTTGTTCTTTGATTGCTGTGGTTTTATCATAATTTTGCTTTCTGTATTGAAATTGTTGGGGCCTTTAAATTTGTCTAATTTTCTGTGCTTGCATGAAAATGCAATTTCAAAGTGTCCTGTTGTAATTGTCACACTAAATTAATTTCCTACCATGCTCACAGGAGTTGTCAAAGTCCAGACTTACTTCAAAGTTTTCTAAATGCAAGTTAGGACCTGGAAGATATAGGGAGCTGGCTGTTGGGTACAGACCTGTTCGAGTTAAGTGGAAAGACCTTGATAAGTGCAGTGTTTGCCACATGGATGAGGTAAAAAGGCATATTCAGTGGCTATGTTACATTTGTTGCACTACTTGGATTGCAACATGTTAGTGAATCCCGATATTAGGGAATAGAGTTTTTCTATGACCAACATAGGTTGAATTAACATTTCTTGTTTTAGATTTATAGTAATGTGAAAAGACAAATTAATTAATTAATTAACTGTTGATTCATTGACCTATCACAATTCTGATATTTGATTTTGTTTGATTCCTAGGAGTACGAGAACAACCTATTTCTGCAGTGTGACAAATGCAGAATTATGGTAAGGGGGGTCCTGTTTTCTCTGGTGTCATTGTTCTGGCTTCTGCATTATCATGGATCAAGTCCTGGATCTTCTGTTAAATTTTTACTGTATTTCTCATTGTTATCAAGTGTCAGTGTCAGCCAACTAAATTGTTATTGGGCATATTGTGTTGCAAACTCATTTAATCTGAACTCTGAAGCAATGGTTGTGCAGGTCCATGCTAGGTGCTATGGGGAACTAGAACCTGTTGATGGTGTTTTGTGGCTGTGCAACCTATGTCGCCCTGGGTCACCTGAGTCCCCCCCTCCTTGCTGCCTCTGCCCTGTTGTAGGGGGTGCAATGAAGCCTACAACTGATGGTCGCTGGGCTCATCTGGCTTGTGCAATATGGATACCTGGTTTGTGCCAAATAACTTTCATGTTGTTTCCTCCCTTGCTTTACTTAGATTTATTGACTTACCTAACATGTTCCAGAAACCTGCTTATCTGATGTCAAGCGAATGGAACCCATTGATGGGCTAAATAGAATCAACAAGGTATTTCTTATTTTATTTGTCATGCCTCACAAGTTTTTTGTCTTTAAGTATTTTCTGCTAAGGATCAGAGGGCTTTTGTTACAAATCTAATCATTCAATATCAACCTTATCATCCATGGACATCAGATTTACTGATGTCCATTTCTTCTCTGTTGTATTTGTTTTTTGGATATTTAACAGGACCGTTGGAAGTTGTTGTGTAGCATCTGTCAAGTGTCATATGGAGCATGTATCCAAGTAAGCTCATGATTATATTTAGTCTATCTATTATGTGTGTGTCTGTGTGTATAAAGCCCGGAAAGACTTGTGGAAAGTCAAACAAAACTTGAAAGGATTTGAATTATATAAGGTGGAATTCATTTCTAAAATGATTTTTGCAGTGTTCAAATAATACCTGTCGTGTAGCATATCATCCACTCTGTGCACGTGCTGCAGGTCTTTGTGTTGAGGTACTTTCAATCTTTTTATAAGTGGTTTATTAGATATCCATTATAATTTCCTTCTAAATATTATAATTTGTCTTGTGGATTGATAGCATGGTAAATTCTTCATATGCATACCAATATAATGTCTGTATGTTTTAACAGCTTGAGGATGAGGAGAGACTTCATCTCCTGGCAGTTGATGATGATGATGAAGATCAATGCATTCGACTGGTTTCCTTTTGCAAGAAGCACAAGCAACCATCCAATGAGCGTAAGTCAGTTGATAAATGGATTGGTGGAAAGCTACATCAATGTTCTGACTACAGTCCTCCAATTAATCCATCTGGTTGTGCTCGTATGGGTATGAAAGAACCTGAAACTCAAGACTGAAATTTATCCATCTATGTTCAGCTTTTTATTTTGCTTGAATTTGTAGGACAAGGCTGAAATTTATGTTGGGTTGATCCTGTCATTACACTGTGAACAGAGCCATACAATCATTTGGGAAGAAGAGGCAGGAAAGAACCTGAAGCTCTGGCTGCTGCATCCTTGAAGCGCCTGTTTGTAGAGAATCAACCTTACTTGGTTGGTGGCTACTGCCAACGTGGAGTGCCGGGCAGCATATTACCTTATGGTAGGGTTAGTGGATTGAAAATCTCTTCCAGTCTTCATAGGCTAAAAACCTCCCAGCCTGATTCTGTGGACAACATTCTTTCTGTGGCCGACAAATATAAATATATGAGGGAGACTTTCAGAAAGAGATTGGCATTTGGTACACGGTTACATTGTTTTTTTCCTGTAGTTGTTTACTTTACAAGTGTCAGCCAAACTGGATATTTTGTTGGAGATGTTTGGTCTGGCAAGTGTTATGCTACATTGTTCCTTACCATGCACTAAGTCTTTTTTAAAGATGTTTGGAATTGCATTTGACTCTAGGTAAATCTGGAATTCATGGTTTTGGCATCTTTGCAAAACATCCACACAGGGCAGGAGACATGGTAAAAGCTGACTTGCTTTTAATTCAGTACTTTTTCAAAGTGTTTTATAAGCTGACATTCAGTGTGCTTTTGTAGGTGATTGAATACACAGGTGAACTTGTTAGACCATCTATAGCTGACAGAAGAGAACATTTAATATACAATTCATTAGTGGTATGTACTCTTGATTCATTTATTTAATGTTGGCATTCTTGTGTTACAACTGTCACATTTTGTGGTAATGTCGTGTGATGGTGGGCTTTAAAATGGGAACCTTTTCTGAGGAAAGTTATTTAGTGCTTTATCACATGCAGGGTGCTGGGACTTATATGTTTAGAATCAATGCTGAGCGAGTGATTGATGCTACAAGGGCAGGAAGCATAGCTCATCTGATTAATCACTCATGTGAAGTAAGTGATTTGCACTCTCTGCGTTTTGAATCCTGTTGTTTCCCTGGATAATATGCATATCTAACTGCAAAGTTTCTTCAGGAATAACTTACACCTGCTAGCCATCGTAGTGCTTCATTTTGTATAGTTTGGACATTGATTTTTCTTATGCAGTAAAGAAAACCTAAAGCTCACGCACTCATTTTGCAGCAGTATAATTTATATCCTTTTTAAACAATATAAATTACCACTACCAGTATGGAGAGAATTACCTGCATACATTACAAACGTTGATGTTTTTACATCTTTCCCGTGCAGCCAAATTGCTATTCAAGACTTATTAGCGTCAATGGTGACGAGCATGTTATCATATTCGCAAAGAGAGATATTAAGAGATGGGAAGAATTGACCTACGATTATAGGTTCGCACCTTGTCCTCTCCACAGCCCGTTTTCTCTCAACTGGTTCTGATTCTTGTACTGTCATTTCGCTATCTTACAGGTTCTTTTCCATTGATGAGCGTCTGGCATGCTATTGTGGCTTCCCAAGTTGTCGTGGGGTTGTCAACGACACTGAATCCGAGGAGCAAGTGGCAAAGAAAATAAATGTACCTCGCAGTGAATTAATAGAGTGAAGGACCCACGTCTGGTTTGGGATCTTGTACATTTTTCATTCACATCATTATTTCCCAAGAACTTAATTTTTTCTCAAACTGCTTAGCTGCCCTGATATACTAATTCTGGAAGTCATTATGATGCAAGTGAAGAATAGCAAGATAATCGCCGTTAACTCACTATTGATTAGTTTGTAACAAACTAGTCGTAACTATCCAAATACTGCCCATTGCATCAACTGTTTCCTCGTATAAATACACATTCAATGTCTCAGACAACTGTATCATGGGTGTTGAAAAGAAGAAAAGAGGATTATTAAGAGCCATAGGGGACGTCCCATGTTGCCTACAAGGACTTTAGAAGTCAGAACTCAAGCATTCTGAGAGAAGTAGAAGCCAAAAAACACTAGCATATCTCAGTAAAGCTCTCGCACTAATTGCGCCACTTTTGAAGATGGTGATTAATCCATGATCACTAAAATTGGTGACATACTACTGGTCGACACAGATGAGACCAGTTGGATTGAGTCAAATTGGAAATGATTTTATGCGTATTTGATAATTAGTTGCTTCACGTGTGATGCTGAGTTGAAAAAAAAAGAAAGAAAGAAAGAAAGAAAAATCAGTTCCTTCACGTGTGGAGTGTGGTGCTGAGTTTAAAAAGAAAAGAAAAAAAATCAGTGAGTTTACTCTTATTATTGTATGTTATATCTACAATGTCTTGAGAAAAATTTTCTTATCAACAAGAAGTCTAATTGAATTAATATTAATTTTAAAACTGATTTAAATAAAAATTAAAGATTTAAATATATATCTTGTCAGATAATTAATTTTTGGATATATAACAATCTCATACCTTTTCTTTTGGAAAAGGAAAATCATGAGATTATTACATATTAAAAGAAATTCATAAGATAGAAGCTTTTTTTCAAGCTTTCTTTTTTTTTTTGGAATTGTTGCGGTTTAGTAGTAAGTTTTTCTTTCTTTCACTATTACAAAAGTACATAAGTAAGTTTTTCTTTCTTTCACTATTACAAAAAGATATAAAATATCAAGTAGTAATTAAAATTATAGAAAATATGTAAAATATTAATTAAAATTAATTAATAGTTACTAGATTAATGGTCCTACTTTCCATTTAAAAAAGGTATTAAATGTTACTATTCTAATTTTAGTCTTATAGAAAATAAAATGGATATTAGGAATTTTTTTGTTTAATTAAAATTTATCCATCGAATATTGTAACAAAAAAAAAAATGAAGTTTTTTAATAATTATAAAGAGTTTTTTTTTTATTAATCTTTCGATATTCGGTAATCATATTGAATCTAATTAATTTAGAATTAAATTGAGTTGTGACAGACCTATAAGAAGAAGTTTTTTTTGCATTTTTTTATTTACAATATTCGAACTCGATAGCTTACTTAAGGAGGATCAAATTCTTTTAATTCAAATTAATAAATTATTGGTATTATAAATAGATTTTTTGGATACATTTGACTATGATAACTTATATAAAAACGTGAAGTCTTAATTTTTTTTGTCTAAATTTCTCTTCATCTAATTTAAAATTTGAATTTAAAATCTACTTATAATTATAAGTAGATAAAATGAGATAATTAAATCAAATAAAAAAATAAAGTATTGTTTGAAATATAACAATTGATTTCTATTTTAACGGATTACAATTTTAGAAAGGGGGATTTGAAGCCGAAGTTAAGATTGAGAAACATATCTTATCATGAAACATATAATCATCATATTACAAAAATTAGGTACAAATATAACTACTGATTTTTTTTTTTTTGACCAGTAAATGATTAGGAAATTAGTAGAGTTAGTTTGTTAGCAGCTGAAATTTTTTCAGGAAAGTGAACGTTCCCCTCCCTCATTTGATGTGCGCGACCATTAAATCGCAAGTTGGTGGAGTTCAGCTCGAAGCCTTGAACTCCGCCTCACCCAGACCCTAAAACTTGGGGCCAACCAATTGGCCACAGGTCGACAAATATAACAACTGATTTATCATTATAAAATAAAAAATATTATACAATTTAAATGGCAAATATAACAACTGATTTATTCATTATAAAATAAAAAATATTATACAATTTAAATTAAACTATATGACATTAGTCAGTAAAATAAGAACAAATTTTTAAAAAACCGTACAATTTGAAACTCTAAAATACTCTAAAAAAAAAAAAAAAAAACTAACCATGACCCCATTTTTTTAATTTAATTCTCACGTCAGGTGCAATCAGTTGGGTGCCCTAATCATCATCTACCTCATTTTTTTTTTCCGCTTCTTTTGTTCTCTCGCCATCTCCTTCCCAGCCCCGGAAATCCCGCAACACAGCCCGTCGCCGTCGCCGTCGCCTTTGCTCTCTCGCTAAGTTGTGCTTCATTCCCGATCACCGATATGGATCTCCCCAGCCTCGCTGTCATCCTCCAAGCTGCTCTAAGTCCCAATCCAGATGAACGCAAAGCCGCCGAACATAGCCTCGATCAGGTACAAATCCGGTTCTTGTTACATATCATATTCGATTCTCTTTCTGTTCTAGATTATCAGTTTTGATGCTACTTTGGTATCGCAATTGATTTCTTTGATGCTTAATTTGTGCGATTTTGTTTTTTGCAGTTTCAGTTCACGCCACAGCATCTTGTGAGGTTGTTGCAGATCATCGTGGACAATAATTGTGACATGGCCGTGCGCCAAGCAGCAAGCATTCACTTCAAGAACTTTATAGCTAAATACTGGACACCAATTGATCCCAGTACGTTTCCTTCTCCTCTTTTTGAGGGTTGCTTAGCTCAATTTTTCAATGTATCTTCTGTTTGGAATTTGTTGTTAAGTTGTTTGTTTATGTATCAATATGTAGACGAGCAGCAGAAGATCTTGCCGAATGATAAAAACTTGGTGAGGGAGAACATTCTTCCCTTTGTTGCCCAAGTTCCCTTATTGTTGAGGTACGTTTATTTGAGTCTCTTTACTCTTTCTTTGGCATTACTTGTTGCCCAACTGCAGACATGTGTGCTATTTATTGTTAATATAGTATTGAATTTGTTCTGTATCGTATGACATGCAATGTGAAGGGTTCTTTTTGTTTTGTTTCTAATTTTCCCCCATAATTTATTCATCCATCGTAGTTGTAACCCCAACTTCTCACGTGTATGCCATTATGTTTCAGGGTGCAATTAGGTGAGTGTCTTAAGACAATTATTCATGCTGATTACCCAGAGCAGTGGCCAGCTCTTCTTGACTGGGTGAAGCTTAACTTACAAGGCCAACAAGTTTATGGAGCTTTATTTGTCCTGCGGATTCTAGCAAGAAAATACGAGTAAGTAGCTGACATACGAAAGTCCGGGACTTAACTATTGGATAAATAATCTTTCCTGTGTCCTTATTTCAATTGAATTGGCCTGCAAAAACAACAATACTGGTGTATACTTTTCAATTCTGCACATTTTCTTTTAGTTGTAAAAGAATTGTTGTGCTAATAAATTGAGTGCCCGTGTGCTATAGCAATGCTCTTTCTCACTTCTAGTTAACCTATATAAATGCCAGGGGGTTTTTACCCAATGTGCTGTACTTCAGGCTAGAGTGCACATACACCCTCTCTTTTGTGGCATGCACACTATCACAAATCGTGCTGTTTTATATTTTCTCATAATTTGATGCATTTGTACTACTCTGCTCTCAGGCCAGATAGTAAAATTGTTCGTTTGTTCTTAAATTTGAGAAATTCTATCCTTAGTTAAATCTTGTGCCATTTGGCTTGTTGCATCTTCTATCACTTTCCTGGTTTGTGGAAAGATTCTAACCATGTGTCAAATCGGTCTCACATGAACTCTTCACTTTTCTATCTTTTTAGGTTCAAGTCAGAGGAGGAGAGGATTCCTGTTTCTCGCATTGTTGAGGAAACATTTCCTTGTCTTCTTAATATATTTAGTGGCCTAGTCCAGATTGTCAACCCATCACTGGAAGTAGCTGATCTGATCAAACTTATTTGTAAAATTTTCTGGTCATCTATATATGTAAGTTTTTTAATTGATAGGTTCATAGTGCATTTTCTACATGCTGTAAGGTCTTCTCATGGTCTGCTACAATTCCCTTGCCCCCCCTAATTTCTAGTAATAAGTTGTGCTTTTTTAACATCTTATTTGTATAGTTACATTTCAGTATTCTAAGTGATAATGAGACTACTTTCTTTATGTTTTCGTATTTATCTTTTTAGCTAACCTATTATTATTTGCTTTCTTTCTGAAAAATCAGCATTCTATGGAGGAATATGATTTTATACAGTGTTTTTGGGTCTGCTTGTGATGCCCCCTTAATTGTCAACAAGACAAAAGGAGCATTTGTTTGTTCTGGTTGCTTCAGATTTTTTTTTTTTATTTTTTAAAATCATTTGGCTATCTGAGTGCTAGCATGAAAGTGATCCTTTTTGCTGCATGTCATACATGTTTGAAGATGGTTTATGCTTCAGTGTTCTTCATTCAAACTTATTCTACCAGTAATGTGTATTGGTTCTTTAATTCTTTTTTATGAGTTTCATTCAATTTATTTATCATTGTTGGTTATTGTTGTGCTTTTCAGTTGGAGATTCCAAAGCAGTTGCTTGATCAAATTGTGTTTGATGGTTGGATGGCTCTTTTCTTAATTGTTTTGGAGAGACCTGTACCACTGGAAGGGCAACCTATGGATCCTGAGCTTAGAAAATCATGGGGCTGGTGGAAGGTGAAGAAATGGACAGTTCACATTTTAAACAGACTGTATACTAGGTAAGTTTTTAAAATGAAACGAGTTTGATTAAGTGGTTAGTGCTATTGTTATGGTAAAAGCCTCTTTTTGATTATCAAAGACTATTTATTAGGTTTGGAGATATAAAGCTTCGGAACCCAGAAAATAGAGCATTTGCCCAAATCTTTCAGAAGAATTACGCAGGGAAGATATTGGAATGTCACTTAAATTTATTGAATGCAATCCGGGTTGGTGGCTATCTGCCAGATAGAGTTACCAACCTTATTCTTCAATATTTAAGTAGCAGGTTTGCAGCATGGTTCTTGAATTATATTTTGGCTTACATCTTTGGTGATAAGAATGCAATGTTAAAATGTGTCTTTTGGAATTGATTTTTTTTTTTTTTCCTTTTATTCTTGGTGAAAAACTTAACTTCTAATTATTTATGTGCAGTATCACAAAAAATAGCATGTATAATTTGTTGCAACCACAGCTTGGAATTCTTCTTTTTGAGATAGTTTTCCCCCTCATGTGCTTCAATGACAATGATCAAAAGCTCTGGGATGAAGACCCTCATGAGTATGTCAGGAAGGGTTATGGTGAGTTTACAAAAGCTGTTTGATTGTTCATAAGGCTTAGAACATTTAAGAGATATTTATAGGTTCAATTCCTATTTTGCAGATATAATTGAAGATTTATATAGTCCAAGGACTGCTGCCATGGACTTTGTTAGTGAGTTAGTTAGAAAACGTGCAAAAGAGAACCTTCAAAAGTTTATTCAGTTCATTGTGGAAATTTTCAAGAGGTATTCATATTTCTCTTGTGGTGCACCATGTGCATGGTAGTTACTGAGTTCCAGAATGAGTTTAATTTAGTGATTGTCTTCTTCATTTTTACTTTGCTACTCTGTTTGGTCCCTTTTTCCAGATATGATGAAGTACCAGTCGAATATAAATCCTATCGGCAAAAGGATGGTGCTCTGCTGGCTGTTGGAGCACTTTGTGATAAACTAAAACAAACTGAGCCCTATAAATCTGAGCTGGAAAGAATGTTAGTGCAACATGTTTTCCCCGAGTTCAACAGTCCTGTTGGTCATCTTAGAGCCAAGGTTTGTTGGTCATCAGTTTTTCTTCTGCAGCTCTTTCCCAGTCTTGCTGACCTAACATCAATTGTTCTCTTTCTAATTTTTCTCCACCTCCTGATTTTCTGATGTCTTCTAAATGTTATTTGGTTTACCTTTTAATGGAATAAGGTGATCTCTATATTGAATATTTGTATCATTGTATGTTCATTTTGTAATTGAGTTGCTTTAAATTTACATCTTTCTTTTCAATGTATATGAATGCTATACATGCATATATTCATCTCTATACATCGGAGTCTAGTAGTCTACCTTCTGTTTGACATGTATGTGGTTTGGATATTAGGCTGCTTGGGTTGCAGGGCAGTATGCTCATATTAGCTTCTCAGACCAAAACAATTTTCGTAGTGCATTGCATTGTGTTGTTTCTGGTTTGCGCGATCCGGAACTTCCTGTTCGTGTTGATTCAGTTTTTGCATTGAGATCATTTGTTGAAGCTTGCAGAGGTATGGATCTAATTCTGTTCTTGAACTTAAATTTCTTGAGGTCAGATTATTGTTAAAGCAATGTAGAACCAAATTCACATTTGTCTCTGCCAAGCCCTCTATTTGTGCTGTTTATGTTGTTTTAATTTGTGTTTGAGTTTCATTTTTATCATTTCCTAATTTGCTTGAACGGAAAGCTTGCTGTGTGATTAAAAGTAACATTTATATGCAGATTTAAATGAGATCCGGCCAATTCTTCCTCAATTACTTGATGGTAAGCCCCTTTCGAAATTATTGTATTCATTATTAGCAGCCACTGACTTTCTGTTGGTCCACATTCAGTGCTGGTAATGGAAATCATTTGATGGTTGATTTAGCACGAAACTATCTTTAGGTTGTTTTGCATTTTACAGCATTTGAGATTTTGCTCACGAACTTGTTTAAAAATTATCCCATCAAGTTTTTTAGTTGATGATCTTGTTTATTTCTTACAGAAATTTTTAAACTTATGAATGAGGTTGAGAATGAGGATCTTGTTTTCACTTTGGAGACAATAGTTGACAAGTTTGGGGAGGAAATGGCTCCTTATGCTCTAGGGTTGTGCCAGAATTTGGTAATGGATGCTTCCATTATTATTTAAGAGGTTTATTCTTCTAGTTTTAATTTTCAATGCCTAAACTTATAATCAGGTCTTTGTTTTCAGGCAGCTGCTTTTTGGAGGTGCATGAACACTGCTGAGAATGATGATGAAGCTGATGATCCTGGTGCACTAGCTGCAGTTGGTTGTTTACGTGCCATAAGCACTATTCTTGAGTCTGTCAGCAGACTTCCTCACCTTTTTGTCCAGATTGAGCAGACTTTGCTGCCAATCATGCGTAGAATGTTGACAACTGATGGACAAGGTATTCAGTTGACTTTAATTTCTACGTCTTGATACCTGGTTATGTTTTTATTTAGATTTTTTATTCTTGTTTTTGGAAATGGTATTTAACTTGAGGGAGCTGGAAATGAGATTGAGAAGTGATATAAAATAAAAATATGAAGAAATGGGACACTGAAGATCATATCTACTGATTGAAGTGTTGATTTCTTTAAGAATGATATTTTATTGGTCTTTAGATTGAAGATTTATATATTTATTCTTGAAATTCATGATTTTTTTCTTTTGCTTCTGCAGAGGTGTTTGAAGAAGTTTTGGAGATTGTCTCATATATGACTTTCTTTTCTCCGACAATTTCTTTGGACATGTGGAGCCTCTGGCCTTTGATGGCTGAAGCACTGGCTGATTGGGCCATAGATTTCTTTCCAAGTATGATTTTGTTCTATGCTCTGCATTAAATTGTGCTTATGGACTCCTTGCTGTTAGGATTATACATAAATCTTAGATTATAGTAGTTTCTCTTTGTGTTGTGTTAGGTTTATTGGTTTCTAGGTTGACTTGGAAGGCTCTCTGAATGTCAGCTTATGATGTTGCTTTACTTCTATACTTATCTTCAACTTGTCAATTCTGAGTCTGAGAAATGACTGCATTCATGCAGATATTTTGGTTCCTTTGGACAATTATATATCTAGGGGAACTGCACATTTTCTTGCTTGCAAGGAACCAGATTACCAGCAAAGTCTCTGGAATATGATTTCAACGGTGAGTTCCTTTTTCTAAGATGAATTAGCTTGTTGACTTCAAACTGTGTCAAAAAGAAAAATATGAAAAAGATGATTGTTGAGAAATTTTATCCTTTTTTCCTTTTCCATTAGTGTCTCTTCTTCTGGCTGATATTTTTCTTGTCTTCACCTTCTTTGGCAGATAATGGCAGATAAAAATTTAGAAGATAATGATATTGAGCCAGCTCCAAAGCTTATTCAAGTAGTTTTTCAAAATTGTAGAGGTCAGGTGGATCATTGGACTGAGCCTTATCTTAGGATCACAGTTGATCGGCTGCGTCAAACTGAGAAGTCGCATTTGAAATGTCTTCTCATGGAAGTGGTAAGGAGTCTGGGTCTACTATATTTTTTTAAAAATAATGACTCTCTGATGTTCCCCTTGTACTATATACAAGTTTACATTTATTGATTGCTATTCACAGAAAAACAAGGAAATGCTGACTGCAAATTTATTTACTTATTTGCTAATTTTGAAATTAATCAATATCCATTTTCATCTTGTCTGCATGCTAGGGTGATTGTTGTTTTAACCTTTAATTAACCAAAGCTTGCCAATTGGTTATGCTTTAGAGGTTTCCTATCATGGCTCCTCACCAAATCCTGTTCCTCATACCTTCATTTAGTTCTCAACAAATTTTTGAGATCTCTGTTTTACTGCATTTTCCCTGTGACTCAGCAAAAGTTTGCTTCCTTCCAGAAACCCCTAATAAACTACTAGGTAGTGTACCTCTCAAAATCCGGGGAGGCCTGTACTAAATTACTTCTGAAGCTTGTGAAATTACCTCTCAAAATCCAGGGAGGCCTGTACTCAAAATCTGGGCTGGCTTTGTTTTTCACTTGAGATAAGTCATTGATCCTATAATGAACAAATCCATGAATGGTAGACATGATTTCTTTGAGCAGTTCAGATCATCTACTTATACCACCAGAGTATTTATAACTTTACTTTGGTTTTAATTCCTATATTACCTTTTTATAGTAAGAAAGAGCTCTGTTGAAAATTTTCTTGAGCATTTTTTTCTTCTTCTTCTTTTTTTATTTTTCTCTCTCTCTCTCTCTTTCTCTCTCAGATAGCTGATGCACTTTACTATAATGCATCCTTAACGCTTGGCATATTGCATAAACTTGGTGTTGCCACTGAAGTATTCAATCTTTGGTTCCAATTGTTGCAACAAGTCAGAAAGAGTGGTCTGATGGCTAATTTTAAGAGGTGATTGTTATATCTAACTTGCTCGAGATCTCCTCTTCTTTTTGATCTGACTGTTGTAGTAGTTGTTGTTGACTTTCACCCTGGTTTCTTCAAGCTGTATGATATAAGTGAACTTTGTGCAGGGAACATGATAAAAAGGTATGTTGTCTGGGCTTGACATCATTACTTGGACTTCCTGCTGATCAACTGCCTGGGGAGGCTCTGGGGCGTGTTTTCAGGGCTAACCTTGATCTCCTAGTTGCATACAAAGATCAAGTTGCAGGTATCCCCTCTCTCATTGAATGCATATCTGTCTGGTTGTCTGTGAATGAACTCTTTTATTGGACTACTGGCTGATTGACTGATGTAAATATTTATAATATTTAGTTTTATAAAGTTTTAATTCTCTTTATTTTTAATTTTTTATGTAAACCATGGACAGAAGCTGCAAAGGAGGAAGATGCTGATGTTGATGATGATATGGATGGCTTCCAGACCGATGATGATGATGATGAAGGTGATGGATTTGACAAGGAAATGGGAGAAGATGAAGATGGGGATGAAGCAGACAGCCTTAGACTTCAAAAATTGGCTGCCCAGGTATGTATTTTAGGTCACGATTTAGATGTATTCTTAAGCATTTGTATTTTGTTTCTCAATTCTGATCACAAGAAAAGGAAAAATTCTCTCTCTTATTGAATATAGTTTTACAAAGTATTTAGTACAACTGTGGCTGCATTTTGACTTTAATGCATCTGACAGAAGCTTGAGAGACCCAAAATATTTTCACATTGTGAATGAATACATAATCTCATCCTGTTTGATGTTCTGAAGAAATCACAAATCTGAAATTTCATTTTCATTGGTTTTTGCTGGTTCTGAAAGACATTTTGATATGATGAGTATCAAAGGCTTTATGTGAGAAAAAAATAAAATAAAAGAATAAACTAAAATGAGCTTACATATAAATATTGCAAAGTAATGGTTTGGAATCAGTGTACTGTTTTTTATTATGATAATTATTTTTTCATATCATTCTTTTCAATTCTAGGCAAGGGCTTTACGTGCAAATGATGACGATGATGATGATGACACGGATGATGACTTCAGTGATGATGAAGAGTTGCAGTCACCAATTGATGAGGTGGATCCTTTTGTTTTCTTTGTGGATACAGTCAAAGGTAAGGAAAATAAACCCCTTTAGCTTTTAACCTTGCAGAATTATTTTTCTTTTTCTTTTTCTTGTTATTTTCATGGCATTGTCTGAAATTGGATAACTTTGTTTTTTGTTCTGATCAAGTCATGCAAGCTTCCGATCCTCTGAGGTTCCAGAACCTTACACAGACGCTAGACTTCCATTATCAAGCACGTGCAAATGGTGTTGCCCAGCATGCTGAACAAAGAAGAGCAGAAATTGAAAAGGAGAAGCTAGAGAAGGCTTCTGCTGCTGTTGCTTCTACGTAAATTAAGCATTGGAATCGAGTGAAATGAAGTTTTGTTTGCATGTCCATTTATAAATGGTTTATGGAAACCAAGAGCTGGTTCCTATCCCATCAAAGCATTTGCTGGGTTATTGGGTCTGTGAAGTTCAGGTGAGCCATGAGCCACAAAGGTTTTTTGGGTTCAAAATGCATTATGTGAGAGTCCAAAGTCTGCAATTTTGTGGTCAGCAAGGTCGATTCCTTGGCAGAATAAGCCTTTCTCAACCGAGTTTGCTATGTTTTGCCTGTTGTCTATACACTTTTGTTTGTCATTTCATTTTGGTTGGAAAAAAAATACCCCTGCCTTAGGGGTTATATTTTTGGGGACTCATTAGCCTCGTTCAATTGCCAGGAATAGGGAGGGTTCCGTGATACCTATACCTTGCAAGGTTAAATAGTTTTTTTTATAAAATTAGGTGCTCTGCTGTGTCTGTGTTGATTATGTTTTTTCTTTTTTCCTTTTTTCTTCAATTTTAGAGCAGGAATCTCAAAATATTGGATATTTTTTGGGGAGATGATGGGATGAGGGTTCCCATTGTAAGAGATGGTTAATTCTTTTCATGGTGTGGATTAATGAGAGCAATTATTTTTTGTATGTTTGCTGCTTGTGTTTAAAAAAAAAAAATGTTTAATCTCTGTTGCTTCCACTATTTTGGGATGAAGTACGACATTATCTCAAGAAGGATGACAAGACCTTCTTTAAATAAGGTGGGATTGCAACATCACTCTGGGTGATGGTCATTCTCAACGGTGTGAGATCTTAAATAGGATTGAAAGAGGAAGCTAGGATTTCAAATGAGATTGTACGATGTACCTTCTAAAAGACTGGAAAATATGACAGAAAAATTAAAAAGGTGTTTGGAGTCTTGACCACACGTAATATTATTTTCATTTTGTTTATTAAAAATTAATTTTTTTATAATTTAAATTATATTAAATTACAAAATAAACTTATTAGGCGAGTACACGGATATGAGAGTTTGCCTCACTCAGTGGTCACTTTCGAAGAAAAAAAAAACGAAAAGAAGTCCCAATTCACATGGCAAATCCCTTGCGGTGTCCCACCGTGGAGCGGTAAACGGT